GAGAGAGGGAGGGAGAGGGAGGGAGAGAGAGAGATAGGAGAGAGAGAAAGAGAGAGCATCTCAGGCAGGATTAACATAATCAGTTGAGCTTTATGAGACACTGATAAAATCACGTGGATTTCTCTAGTCTGTAATTCATCGCTAGAGTTCTTCCTCCCCTAAGAGTTTAAAACACACCACTTTACAACTTGTAGGAATGTAATCAGAAGGTAGAATTACTACAGATGACCCATGGTGAGAGGCATTTGCTCAAGAAACTTGTAGAATGTGTTATGAAAAATGAGAGATAGCATGCGTAGAACGTTTCGAGGAGGACAAGTTGTCACTGTTCAGCCCCTCCTGCTTCCTGTAGTTCTATCCTCAGGCTTCTTAAGGACAAGGCAGCTGCTGCTAGTGGCATCAGTCAGGTGAAAGTTATAGAGAGGAAGCCCTGTCCCTACTCCTTGGCTCAGGGTCAAGTTCAACAGATATAAGGATGGAAATAACAGGAGGAAGAAAACTTGCCTCCTACTTTACCAAAGGACACATTTTAGGCTTGAATGATGAGGGCAGCATGCTGGACATTAATAATGACATTCATAGAGAGAAAGTGAAGTTCTTTTAATGATACTCTGTTCCTTTAAGATGAGGTTAAATTTTGAAAGAGATTGTAGAATGGATGGTGACTTGCCACTAGTCCCTGACCTAGTGAGTACGCCTCCCTGTTGCATGTACAGTGAGCTTCAGACAACTCAAATTCACATAGACAGTTTCAGAGGCGCAGCTTCTCAGATGCAGTTACCTTCAGTGCCGTCTGGCTCTGCCTGCTCCTCCCTCTGCTTCTGCTTGAACTTCATGTTCCCATAATGCATCACTGCACCTGTCAACTTGTAGATCCCAACTTTCTCCTCTGAGCTAAAGCCCAGGATGTCAATGGCATTCTGGGAGAAAAGCATAAAGGAGAGTGGATGCAGTAGGACTCAGGGATCAACATGCTGCTTTCTTCTGGCAGAGACATTACCTCCTTTCTGGTTAGCACAAGAGAAGGTATTTATCAAATAAGTGGATGATATAATAAGTTAGAGGGTAAAACACATTTACTTGACATGTTTGTGACTGGTAAAAATATGGAAAGAATGTATAAATCATCTGTTTTCTTCCATCAGATAACATTTGCATTGTGTATAGATGGGGACTGTTCTCTGGGATGAGGCTATTAGAAACTATCGAGTGACAGTTGGAGAAAGAAACCACAGAGGTAGTAATGGTGAAATATTGCTTGAAGGTTTGAATTTGCCATTGTAATTTGCCATATGAGGATTCCAGTGTGGCTCAGCTCAAGCAAATGCATCATAGATAGCAAACTAGGAAAGGTAGGTCACGAAAGACAGCACCATCATTTTTTCAAAGTGAAAGGGGCAAACTTTCACAGGATCCCATTTTTTTATGCCACCTTTAGATGTACAGATGACCACTCTGTAGGTATATAGACTTCCCCAGATTTCTAGGTGAAGAACTGAGGTTCTACTGGGAGTAAGTAACCTGCACCAAGATACACAAGGACGATGTGCAATGACAGGGCTAGAGCTGGGCTGGATCACTTTTGGGTCAAAGCCTATAGTAGTTGCAGGTTTTGCTTCATGACCACTCCGTCCTCAATGAGGAGAAGCTATATGAGTGGGAGGAGCAACAGACCACCGGGCAGCAGGGAAGCCACAGTGTGGATGTGAGACGCCTCAGGCAACTTCTAGGATTATGGGTGCCCTCTGTGTCCACAGTTCTGTAGTTGAGGATTCAGCTAACTAATGCTTGGAAAAACAATTGCATCTGTACTGAGCATATTCTCATTTCCCCCTTGTTACTGCTTAAACAATAAAGCATAACAACTATTTATGCAGCATTAACATTTGTATTCAGTATTATAAGTAATCTAGAGATGTGAAGTACACAGACGCTGTGTGTAAGTCATATGCAAATACTGCATGAATTTCTAAAGGAGACTTGAGCATCTACTGATTTTAGTGTCCAAGTGGGTCTTAGGACCAGTTACCCAGAGATACCATGGGACAACTGTACTTAGAAAGACTTGCCTTGGAGCTGCTGCCTGAGCATCAGTCATTACTAATCTGACTCTTTTCTGTACTCACTAGTTAGTAAAAAGTAGGGATATGTGGCTTAAAAAATATGTATGACAACTAGAACTAACTTCGGTTTATTTGATCTTGCACTAAGATAAGTACCAGCACCTGAAAATGTCACCAAATGCAGACTAAGCAGCTGGCACTGGGTAGCGTCCCCAGGACGAAAATCAGAACCCCTCAGCACAGCGCTTGGAGGTTCTGGGTGGACCCAGCCAGGGTAGATACAAACTGTTCAGAGATAGTGTATTTTAATTAAAAATCTAGGTACTGTGGTTGGACAGGCTTGGATTTAAGCATTCTCTTTCACTTACAGGTTCAGTGTCTTTAGGCAAATTATGTATTTTTTTGTAAGATGTGTATTTACAATTGTGAAACGGAGCAATAAGGATACCAATGACAGGGATGTTTTAAGAGTTAAATAAGATATTGCTGGGAAGGTAACTCATCCCAGTGCCTGGCACAAGTCAGAGTCCATGTACATATTGTTATTGTACTATATTGTTATAATATTCAGTATAATATTAATACTGTAGATATTAATTACAGAAAGGGACACAGTCTTGACAGGTACACTAAGGAAGTATGTGGAAGGAAAACTGGAGAGGCCAATGAAGAGTGGGGATTTTGTTGCTGTTGTTGTTCTTTGTGCATCTTTATATTTCCTAAATTTTGGGAGTAGATGGTTTTATGAATTGAAAGATTCCAACAAACATTTTGCTACAAATCTTGCAGATGCAAAAATGCATTTTAAGTAAGATGTTAGAGAGTAGAACTGAAAGCCTGCTTTGGAGAACTTTCTGGATTATTTTTGGAGTCTTGTGACATGGAGTTGGGAGGTAACGTGGGCAGTCTGTATTGAATCTCTGTGATCTAGACCCTGAGATCTCTTATCTAATCACTTAGAGTTGCTATGCTCCGGTTTTCTCATGAAATCACTATGTTCATAAACTCCAAAATCTCCCCCAACCCTCCAGTGCTAGGGGTCCAACCCCAACACCTCATGTGCCTGGGGCAAGTACTCTACCACTCAGCCACATACCCAGCTCACACCCCACAATTCTGCGCATAAACAAATATATATCATGCTTACGTCAGTCGCCAACAGTTCCTCACTGTCATCAATGCTGGCTACTGTGACTTCCCCTTGGCTCACGAAAGGGAAGTCAAAGGGATTGGTTGAAATCAGAAGCAGGTCTGGAAAATTTGAAAGTTCCTTTAGAATCTTATGCACAATTGACTCTGGGTATTGTTCTCCAATGCTACTTATTAGGAAGATAAGAAGAATACTCTAAGCACTTACCAATTAGTTCTGGCTTCTTGTTTGACATAATCTGGTAAAAAATATGATAGCTTCTCTCACTGGATAACTGAAATGTCACTCTGGATTTTTCTAATAGATCTAAAGTAATAAAAAATAATGTGATTTTTGGTTCCACAGTGATGCCCTTTTGGCTAACTACAAAGGTACTTGTACGGCGTGTCTGGACTCACAGGTTTCAATGTCTGCCGATGCCAACTTTCCTGTGGCTCCAAAGTGAATCCGAATGAACTTCCCCTGTCCAATGGGAGGTTGACAAACAGCACTGTTACTTGATTTATATGGTTCTGTGCTCGCGCCTGATAGGTAATGCCACCAGTACATGGTAAGCGCAGGGTTGGGGAGCAAGTGGGGCTGCAGCAGGAGTGCTTTTCTCCTCTTCGTTTGCCTGCAACCCAGAGTCCTCAGGGAGGGTCAACGAAGGCTCATGTGGCTCTTGCAAAAGTGCCTATCCCTGCCCTTGTAGCTCAGGGGAAGCCTAAAGGCTTCCTCTGCCACCCTCTGCTTGGGGTTTCCTTGCCATTGACTGCCTCCTTGGGTCTTACCCTGCTCTCACATTCCTCCTAACACCTGGGAAATGACAACCAAGTTGGGTTGTCTGTTTGACTTCTTTTTTCTTCCCATGAACTCTGCTTCTGAGATTCTTGACCTGAATTTTGCATACTATTATAGGCAAACCTAATTCCCAGGCTCAGGCCAGGTACATTGGCCCCCAAAAGAACCACTATAGCAGGGTAAATCCATTTTGGGGTGTGAAAGTTCAAAGTTTACAAACACATACATAAAGTACATAAAATAAATAATAAATAAAATAGATATTTATATAAAATTTGTATATGTGAATACATATATGAAAGTATATATACACATGATCTACGCATACACTATGTAGCATATATGTACTACATATTTAGTACATATATGTAACATGTATATGGGCATCTTTTTCTTATATTACACTTAGTTGGGCCTCTACTATACTGACCAAGTATAAGGGTAAAAATGTTGCCTTCCTTATTTCTTCACAAGGACTGGCATGTACTCAGTAATCAATAATCTCTATATTTTCTGAATGAATAGTAAGAAGAGCTAGAGAAGGGTCAATGGAGATAGGTATGAATGGAAATGTTGAATCCTTAGTATTCTTAGTTGCTTAATAGAAGACAATAAAGTCACCCCCTAGCTTGAGAATGTCTGAAGGGTGGAAGATGGACACAATAATCCGAATGGCTATGATCGCTGCGTCAAGGTAAGACATTCAAATTAAGAGGTGTCTGTGATAATCATGAGCTCATGAGGGCAATGTCTCCTCTTTAAGGCGGGACTGGGTTGGTACAATAACTAACTGGCCCAAGCATGTGTAACCATTTTTATCATGCACTCAGATCCATCAACCTGGAGAAAGAGTTGAGCTGTGTATCCTGGCAGACAGAAATGCAACCAGGTAGTGCCCTGAGTACAAAGGGCACGCTAAGGAGAGACGTCTCAGGGTTCAGAGAAGCTTTTAAGGGATGAATCTGCTTTCTCTTCAGGACCATTTTGTCTCTGTGGGATCATCTTAAATGTGAGCTCGAGATTATCCAGGTAGTGAGGCGTGGGGAGTTCTGAAGTACTTTTGCAGCCAGAGGCATAATGACACTTCTCTTTGAGCACTTACTTCCCTTGCCAATGAAAGTAAGCACCAGGCTGCCTGCTTATTCTGGATCATTTGCTAATGTGGATGCAAAAATGTCTTTGGTTGAATCCTGAGTGAAATGTTGAAGGATTGACTGTATCTTTCAGTATCTCAGTCCCAATCAAATCTCAGTTTCTGATTACTTCTCCTGCCTTTGCCAGTCCTTCCCCCAACTCGGTCCTAGTACCTTTTGATTTGGAGGAGGTCAAATCTGTTCACTTAATTCACATTAAGTTTCTGTGATTAATTTGAACATTTCTCAGTGGAATCTTGAATTTTAAAATGTTTCCACACAGAAAGGCTAATTTTAATGTAACAGAAATGCTCTCTGCTTGTGGAATTTGCATTATCACGACTCCAGGAGGCTGTGAGGTGTTGTTGACTAGTTAGGTGAAGTGTTGAATCTTCCCTCTGCTGGGGAACAAGGCAACAGTTTTTTCAAAGTGTATCAAATTATTCCAATTAGAAAGATTGCCCTGAATTGCTTGAGGATAGAGAAAGGCCCAGTATGTTTTAGTTTATGTGACAGTGTTTCATGCATAGCATTTAAAGGGAGGATAACTTGGGGGTAGGTAGAAATGAGGCAGGGTCTTACAAATCTAGAGGAGTTGTCATTTCTTACAGTCTTGGCATTTCCAAAGGCCTCCAGCAAGGGGTTGGCCTGGATGATCTGATCCTCCAGGGTTCCCTGTAACAAAGAGATGACCATAGAGCACTTAGGACTTCTTCTGCAGTAGCCCTTTAAATCTGAAAGTCTGAGCGCTCTGGGCAGAGTCTCAGTAGAGAAATCAGCCAGTGCTATCTTGTGGCTAGAACAGAAGGTGGAGACACCTACGGCTCCAGGCCCATCCCCTTCAAGGAGTCTCAAGGGCTCAGCTCTTGCTAGGAGAGCAATGGGGTGACTTCTGGTCATGCCATATTCCAGGCTGGAACATTATCCTCTCCATTTTGACATCCACACTTCTTCTCTGGTCGTGTTTCATTATAAATCACAGATTTTAGGACATGTACCTCTGTTACTGCGTGCAGCATGAGTTGATATCATTTGTTTTCAGAAGGAGAAATAAAATCTGAACAATGCAAATGACCCAGGAGATCATACAAAATAAGTAGTGGTTTTCAAACGAAGTTTAAGTAGGAAAGAGATAATTCATAAGAATTATCTCTGATCACTATATAATTATTATTGATTTTCAATAAAGTTAATGAGTACCAAAAAAAGAAAAGAATTATTACTAAGAAAGAGATGGAGGAAGGAAGGTCCAAAAAAGAATTAAGTGTGTTATATATGTGTACCAACTCCACAAAATGGAGGTAATTATTATGTACTACAGACCAACATTATTAAAAATAAAAATTTGAATGAAAAAGACAAGACAGAATCATTACTAGGAAGTTTGCTAGCAAGTGGGGTTTCACTTTCACCTCTGAGACTGCTTATCCTAGCTCTGAAGCAGTTTACAAATTACTGCTAAATGTAGTGTCCTGAAAGTGTGACTCCTAGCCCAGCAGTTAAACATTACCTGGGAACATGCTATAAATGCAGAAAAGGTCACACTCTAGACCTACACAATGGGGAATTCTGAGCAGGGCCCCACTATTTGGAAAACATTCTTGGTGACTCTGATGTGTGCTGCAGTCCTGAGGACTGTGTAGAGTTGTTCACAGACACTCAGCTGCCACCGATAAAGGTGGGCATTAGACCTTAAGTCTATGCAGGTAGAACTACTTCCTGTCTTTCCCCATGTGATCCTGTGATATGAGACATGTATATTTTGGTCTTAATTTCATAGCACAAATCTCCTAAAACCTTTGGAGACTCCAAAGGGATAAGCTGTATGCTAATGAGTAAATGGGGACTGAGGCTTTGGGACAGTCTCAGGATGGGGACTGGTGACCTTGGGCACCAAGTGTGTGATTAGAGGGCTGGAGATTTCAGGGAAAAGGGAGTGAAGGTTAGTTAAATGATTCACCAGTGCCTCAGCCAGTAAAGCCTTGTAATGGAACCTCCATAAGAGTCATTTATTGAAGGGCTGTGGAGAGCTTCCAGATGGGCAGACACACGGAGGGCTGGGAGATGTGCCCAGAATGGAGACGTGAGTTCTAAGCCCTCCCCATACCTCGCTGTATGCATCTCCTCTTGTTATTCTTTATAATAAACCTGCAAATATAGGCAAAGGGTTTCCCTGAATTCTGTGAGCCATATTAGCAAATTCTGAACCTGAGGAGGAGAGTTCTGGGAACCTTGGATTTGTAGCTTGCCAGTGGCATTTGCAGTGAGGGAATCTTGTAAGATTGAGCCCTGAACCCCTGGGATCTGAGGTTATCTCCAGAAAGACAGTATCAGAATGAAATTGAAATGTAGAATGCCTGGCTAGCATCTGCAAAGAATTGGGAAGTTTCCTAGTAGGGGGAAAATCTTATACATTTGGTATCAGAAATGTCCTGTGTACGTTGCTTGCCTGGCAAGCATGAGACCCTGAGTTCAATTCCTAGCACCGAAAAATAAAATAGTAAAAAAACTCAAAACAACAAAAAATGCCCTGTATGAGAATAACAACAACAGCAAAAATACCCTGTATGAGAACACGGAGAGGACAAAAATTCTGTCCTATTTATCCTTTTTGCTGAGCACATACTTGGGCTCTCTGGTGCTGTCCCAGTATCTCAGCTGTGCTTGTTCCATTGAGCTCCTGGAGCACACCGCTGCTTACCTGCATTTTGCCTGGCTGCTGCTCCTTCTTCTTGTCCCCAGTAACTGCAATTGTTGCAAAGTACTGAATGACACGCTTTGTGTTCACAGTCTTTCCGGCCCCAGATTCTCCGCTGTTGATTTAAAAGTAAATTGGATAAACAGATGTGCAAGGGATGGCATTGACTCCTGAGTTATCAGAGTGCAAACATGGGTTACTTACGTGATAAGGATGGACTGGTTGTCTCTATCTAGAAACACAGAGGGGAGCAAAATAAAACAAATCAACAACAGACAGGATTTAGAAACAGAGCAACAGTAGGGGAAGTTAGAGAACAAGAACTCTGCCATTAACTAAGGGTGTAATTTGGGCTGGTCTAATTTTCCTCAATTTGGGATATATAATATGGGCAGCCTAGGAGGTAGAAAGAGACACCTAGTGTAAAAGCTGTTTATGTTTGTAGATAGTTAGCTGCTTGCTATGACTTTCTCATTTCCCTTTTAAATGTAAAATCAAGTCTCAGCCTCAGAGCTGGAGGGAAGCCTCTGCTTCTAATTAGAATTTATACATGCTGCTTGTGTGCCCGCACTTCTTTTTACTCTTATAGTCTCCTTGTGGAAAGTGATATTGTTTTCCATTTATAAGAGCGTATTGGTGAATTATTTCCCCAAAAATTCATATATTGAAGTCTCACCTCAAACCCTCAGAGTGTAATGTCATTTGGAAACAAGATATAAATATCATGTAGATATAATTAGTCAAAATGAGGCCATACTGGAATGGAGAAGTGACCTGATTCAGTATGACTGGTGTCCTTATAATAAGGGGAAATATGAAGGCAGACAGACAGATACACACACACACACACACACACACACACACACACAGCCATATGAAAGTGAAGCCAGCAATCAGGACCATATTTCTATAAGCCAAGGAACATCAAAGATGGCTGCAAACCAGAAAAGCCAGGCTAGCAGCATGCAGCAGATTTTCTCTCACACCTCTCAGAAGCAATCAGCCCTGATGACACCTTGGTCACACATTTCTAGTCTCTTGTTTAAACTAATCAGTCTGTGGGTCTTTTTTTTTTTTTTAAACAGCTGTGCCAAACTGATGCAAATGATTAATCTTCCCTTTGACTTGGGCAATGTTAGATGATTTTTAAGTGTCTTCAGATCTCAAATGCTTGTTTCCTATTCTTGTATATGTGCTGGATCAAGTCAGATGAGAGTTGGACAGACAGAAGTGATATGTAGTAAGTACACTGCAGGGATAGATTTGCACATCTTTACTTCCTACTCCATATTGGAAATATGAGGAAGACTTAGGGGAACCTGAGTTTGATGGACAAGGCAGGCAAAGGGATACTGCTGTATCTGTTTGTCCTATTTTCTCTTCTTTCTAGGTGTTTGGTACAGGGTCTCACTACGCAGCTCGGACTCATACTGATCCTCCTATTTTTGGCTCCCCCAGTGCTGGGATTACAGGAGTACACCCCCGCCCCCAACCCCACCCTCATCTCCACAGCCAGCTCAGCGTGCCCCGGGCTGGCCAGTGTGGCATGTGGTGCCAGGGATTGATGTTTGTCCTATTTTCAATTCTCTCAGTAGCTATTAATATAGTTTCTCTTCCAAGTTGCCCAAAGTGGGGATGCTTGGAGGTTGGGACAGGGAACTTTTGTGTTCCACAATCCCTCAAATAAGCATGAGCTTAATGTGGCTTCAGGCATGACCACTGGCATTGCTGTACACAATTACTGGTAATAGAAGATGCGGCACACCTGACTTTTCAACCCTATATCATCTAAAACCCTTAAGATCACTTTACTTAAACACTGCAGATAACCAAAGCCTCTCACAGGTTTAAATAACTAATCAAAGATGATGTTAAAATAAATGCATGGAGAGATCACTCACCAGTCAGCATGAATTGATAGGCGTTGTCAGAGATGGAGAAGATGTGGGGCGGCGCCTCCTGGCGCTTTTTGCCTCTGTAGGCAGCCACCACCTCAGGGTTGTACACTGGCAGCCACTTGTAGGGGTTGACAGTGACACAGAAGAGGCCCGAGTAGGTCTGGGAAAGCCACAAAATGTGTCACATGAATATTTTTTTCCCTAAGAGAGATACTGAACTATGTAAAAGTCAAAAGGCACTCACGTAGATCATCCAGGCTGCGTAGCGCTCTTTGAGGTTGTAGAGCACTGCAGGCTCATGCAGGTGGGTCATCATGGCCATGTCCTCGATCTTGTCAAATTTGGGAGGGTTCATGGGGAACACCTGGTTACTATTCAGAGTGAGTGTCTGGGTATTGAGAGGAAAAGCAAGTGATGAATGGAAGAGCTGGTGACCCATAGTCCATTTGACTGGAGCAGTGGGAGCGGGGGGGTCTGTGGTGCATTTATCCCACTGCCATGATAAGTTAGTGGGTAGTTTCTATGCCTAGAGACAATCCATGGGTGACTGTCCTTTATTAGCCCTGTTCTCCTCACACTCTACAGCCAATTCGGGCCCCATGACCTCAGTCAGCCTGCTGTCCTGTGTCCAGAGAGGATCATGAGAATGCGTAGCTACAGAGCCCTTAGGCCACAGGAGGGTCAGATGGGCCTTAGGAGAGTCAGCCATGGCCTAGTCAGGTTCCCTTTTGTCCTGTATATGCTGCAAATGCTGCCATATGATGAAGGTTGGAAAGAACCACTCTTTTTATCTGTGCATTCTCACCTCAATATCCCTGCTCATGTGCATTCCTTTGTCTAGAATCTCTCTCTTGAAGTTGTGTCTGGAAACCTTTAAAGCTCAGCTAAGATGCCTTCCACCCATTTGCTCTTTACCCCATTCTTTAAAGGCTCCCATAATCCTTTGTACCTCTGCTTTCACAACTAAAGCATTTAGACTTGTACCAGTGTTTGAGGCCAAAAAATATTTTGAGACAATTACTGAATTTTTCCCCTCTAAGATGTTCCCTCCCGTCCACCTCCATCAATACATACAGTTGTCTCTGTGTTTCATTTTCAGGAGATCCAGAAAATAATGCAGAAAAGAGAAAGAGCCTCTAAGGTTTTCTGAACTTTCTAAATCTTGCTCTAAGGGTTTCTACAGAAATGGTTAAAGGAAGATTTGCTGATACAGACTAAATTTCTTGAGGAAAGGACACTTTCCCGTACCATTTCCATTGTAGAGAGAGCCAACATAGCCAAAGGGGAGAGAGAAGTCTATGTATGTTGAAACTTTAAGGACTTCCTTCCTTCCTTCTCTTTACTTTTTCTTTCCTACCTTCCTTCTGATATCTCAGTTTTATTTTGGAGGGTATGAAAAGAACCACTTTTAGGAAAGATTGAATTTTTAAAACTTGGTTTCCTATTGCAATGTAGTTGTACAACAAGGGTACTCCTTTCCTTTCCTCCTACATATCCTTCTGGGGGCACCTTTGACTAAGGGACCCTGTGGTCTCTTAATAGATCTCCACGGAGACAGCGAGACCCCAGTGCAGTCCAGTATAGGAGTCCCCCAACTTATCAAAACTTCAGTGGCGAACTTTCACCAGTGGACTGCATAAAACTCACTTGATTGGATTTTGAATGAATCTGACTCACCAATGTTCTGTCAGAATTGAACTCATTTGTAAGTTTGGGGTTCATTGTACTGAGTAAGATTTTGATAATGTGGTCCACAACCCAAAAGTAGGGAGACCCCCAAAGTGACTGGAGTCATTTTCTTTTTTCTTTTTTTGGCAGAACACAGGGATTGAACTCAGGCCCTTGCGCTTGCCAGGGAAGCACTTATTCCACTAAGCCATCTCCCTGGCCCCCTCTTTTTTTTTTTTTTTGGAACCAGTAATCAAACTCATGGCCTTGAACTTGACAGGCAGGCACTGTGCTGCAGAGCTACATTCCTGGCCTTGAAGATTTTTTTTTTTTTTTCAGTCTAGTGAAAAGGGGCTGGAATTGGGGATTAAGCTTAATAATAAAAAAAAAGCAAAATCAATCTCAGAAGCCTGAGATAATGAACTGAGTTTCAGACCTGTCATACACATCTTGATTCCTGTACTAAATGGTAGGTTTTGGCCATGCAGATGCTGAGGTCTGTTTATATTTATAACATGACTGACACTGTGACTAAGACCTGGTGAATGTCCCATAAATGTTGGATGGAAGGGCACTCTCATTTTCCACAATAGAGCAGGCAATACCCACTGAGCCTCCTCTTTATGATCCACTTTGCAATCCACTGCATGCATTTGTGCAGTCCATCCAGCAGCAATCAGTATTAATTTTTCTTTTAAGTAGTTCAACTTCTTTCACTTTCACCTTTTCTTTCCTCCAAAGCAAATACCACAAATATCCTCAAAGCCCAACTCTTCAAAGGAAAGGGACAGAAGCTCCAGTGTGTATGATGGCAGCTTTCACTTTCCCTTCTACTGCAGAACAGATAAAGCTACATTTTGATTTATCGTCACATTCCTTCAGAACAGCATGCAATTTTTAATATTTTATTCCACAGGAAAAGTCAGGTGCACATATTATCAAAGATATCTGAGAGCAACACTTACCCGGTCGTCTAGGGTCTGGACGGTGACTTTGTCATTTTCCCTGCTCTGTATCATACCTTTCACGTACATTTCCTTATCATCCATTGCAAAGCAGGCTTTCTTTGAATCAAATGGGCGGTTCTGAGCCTCGATTCTCTCTTTTTCTGGTTTCCGGAGATAGGGAGCTGCTTCTCCAAAAACGGCCATCTCTGCGTCCGAGCTCATGGCTGCAAGGGGCTGGGAAGGCCAGGGGAGCTGCTGAGTCTCGTGCTGGGTGACTACTGCATCTGCAGGGCCTGCGAGTTGCTCCCATTCAATACGGGACAAATTCAATGGATTCCAGAACCAACATATGTCCTGAGGGATCTATAACCAGGTCTAGGGCTTAGAGTGGGCGGATGAGAAGGAACCAAGGGGAGCATCTAGTCTGAGAAAAGTGTGTGAGCATCGTTTTCTTTCCTGAGTGTCATTTTGGGAGTTTCTCTTAGTGTAGCCCCATGTGTACAAATCTAAGATAATCAGAAGCAGATACAGTGAACCTGATGAAAAGTACTTTTTCTACTGAACATCCTGTTTGGGCCTTGTTATCTCTGTGTCACCCCTGAATCTTAACAGAATCTGCAAGTGGTAAGTGGAATTCAGGTCATTACTAACAGAAATTTCAGACAGTGACAAGTAAGTGATATAAACATGGAGGTACCAAAGAGATGTGCGGCATGAAAGCGCACGGTAATGGCTGCACGCTGGAAGACATGATACAGGATACAGGACCCCCCCGGAGGACTTATGACAGTGCATTGCCAGGCGGTGTCAGCAAAGTTGAGGATTGGGCTTGAAAAATGGGTGTTTTTTAGCAAGCTCCTGGGTGAAGTGGTATGTGTGGCCCTCCAGCTATTCAGTACCTTCCCCCAGGAGACTGTTAGAACAGAATGTCAGACCTGCCCCAGATTCCAAATCAGAGCATCCAAATCTTGATGTCCAGTAAAATTCTGTGTTGTTTCTAATGTTCTTTTTTTCTACTAGTTTGTATTCTCTTTTAAAATAGAAAGAAAAAAGAAAGAAAGAAAGAAAGAAAGAAAGAAAGAAAGAAAGAAAGAAAGAAAGAAGAAAGAAAAAAGAAAGAGCATAGGCTGAAGTAATGCAACATAATCTGAATGAGGCCCAGGGTGAAGTGGATACTAAAGAATCCTAGGAAGGGTTACCTGAACAATAATAGGTAACCAGATGTCCAGAATTTTACTGGACATCAAGATGTCCAGGAGAGGTCTGTGCATAACAAAGTGAGAAGTACTGGGCCTACTGCAGTCATTTCTAAACCTTTATGCGCAGTAGCTTCAGAGTGTGGCAGTGTTTAATTAGATGAATACCTGCCTCAGAGCTCACTCCATAGGGTGTGTGTGTGTGTGTGTGTGTGTGTGTGTGTGTGTGTGTGTGTGCTTTTGCCATCTCTTATCCTTCTGTCACTCTATCCCCTAATAATCCACCTTTTGGGGCCCTTCTCTTGATCTGTTTCTCTGTTTTGAAGCCAGAAGACCTACCTTGAAGTTGCAGCACTGACTTTGGCCAAACTTTCTAACTTTTCTAGGCTCCTGTCTCTTCTTTCCCTTAAGATGAAGAAGCCAGTATGGAGCCTGTCTAAGGCTCCACATGTTTGTAGTTTTCTGATTCATTTTCTTTCTGTGTTTGCCTCTCCTGCTCCTTCTTTGGATCTTTTCCCTCAGTTTCTCTCCTTGTTTTCTCCATAGCTCATCTTCCTTCCTGTCCTTTCTCTCCTCTTTTCTTGTCCACCCATTGTCTCTAACTGAAACACATTAAATTGTAAACACACACACACACACACACACACACACACACACACACACCTATATATCTGTTAAAAGTAATCAGCATGTTTAAATCTCTTATATTCTCTTTTTAAAATGGGAAAGTTGAGCATGTTATAGTTCTCTCTCCTAGCTTAGCCTGTATAAAATTATTTTCCACTGATAACTGGTTATTGTTCAGGTAACCCTTCCTAGGATTCTTTAGTATCCACTTCACCCTGGGCCTCATTCAGATTATGTTGCATTACTTCAGCCTATGCTCTTTCTTTCTTCTTTCTTTCTTTTTCTTTCTTTCTTTCTTTTCTCTTTCTATTTTTAAGGAGAATACAAACTAGTAGAAAAAAAGAACATTAGAAACAACACAGAATTTTACTAAACAAAAACTAGGAATTCGACAATGGTTGTTGCATAATGTTACCTTCAGATTAGTTGTTCAGATTACCAGATATAAATTCAGATTACCAGATATAAACATGCAAAATTGGTTAAAAAAAGTTATAAAAAATTAAAAAGAAGAAAAAAAATTAAACATAACAGCTTTTTTCAGTAGACCAGCAGAAATCAACAGTACAATTATCCAAGCTATCCTGTATATATACATAAGTATATTTTTTCTTTTTCTCCTTTATTTCTTTTGTCCTTTTCCTCATCCTAGTTATTCCTTCCCTTTGAACAGATTCTTTCCCTTCATAGAATATGTTGAACCTTTCAGCTTTTATTTACTCTTCTGAATTCTTAAACTAGCAAGATAATATAATGTTTGCGTATGTGGGTCTGATTTATTTCCTTTACCAGTATGTTTTCTGATTGCATCCATTTACCTATAAAACTCTCTAGTTTATCTTTTTATAGCTGAGAAATACTCCACTGTGTAAAAATACCACAACTTTTTTATCCATTCCTCGGCTGATGGGCATTCCATTTGTTTCCAAGATTTAGCTAAGACAAATTGTGCTGCTATAAACATGGGTGCACATATATCACTGTGGTATGACGTTTTCAGTTCTTCTGCAAAAATACCCAGGAGAGAAATAGTTGGGTAAAATGGGACCTCTAAGCCTAATATTTTGAGGAACTTCACACTGATTGCCATAGTGGTAGTACCAGTCCACACTCCTACCAACAGTGGAGAAGTGTTCTTTCTTGCCCACAGGCCCTCTAGTATTTGTTATTGGTTGACTTCTTGATAATAACCATTCTTTCTGGGGTGAGATGGAATCTCAGTGTTGCTTTAATTCACATTTCTTGAATGCCCAATGATGTAGAACATTTTTTCACATATTTACATGTCATTTGTATTTCTTAATCTGAGAAATATAGTGTGTATTTATCTCAGATGCCCATTTTGGGATTGGGTTTTTGAATTTTGAAGGCCCGATTTTTAAAAATTCTTTATATGTTCTAGATAGTAGTCCTTTGCTGGACAGTGGGCTATAATTTTTTCCAAATTTATGAGTTTTCTTTTTACTCTGTAGGTGATTTCTTTTGAGATGCAGTGCTTTTCTTAAACCATCTGTGTGCTTGTGGTTCAGTTTCTTGGCAATAGGCTGGAATTCAGTACAGTACCCACTATAGGGCCCCTGGCCTGCAAGGGCCATGCTAGTTTAAACTTCTTGTTATTACCTGGCAGATGAAAAAAATTTATCATTTTTTCCTTTCATATCTGTAAAGATAGTTGCTTATGTGCGGCATAAGTAAGTTTCATTACAGTAATGATTTCAAATTTGGTGGTCTCAGGAGCTCTTCACATATTAAAATTAAATAAGAACCCAAAGTTCATGTAAATCTCATCTATCAATATGTGAGAAATAAAAATTGAAGGTATTTTAGAATTTTATTATCATGTTAATCTCTTACATGGTAACAAATAATATATTTTTATGAAAATGATATTTTTTGCGGCTGGGGAGATGGCTCAGTGGAATATGTGCTTTGCTGGCAAGCACAAGGGCCTGAGTTCATTCCCCAGTTCCGCAAAAAAAAAAAAAAAAAAAAAAAAAAAAAGAAAATGATATTTTTTGAAATATGCTATGCTATATTTTGTCCAAAATTAATTTTGCTGTCTTTAATTTTTTTATGTTCTAAAAGAATATTTCAACTTGTAGTCTACCGCTAGAGATTTTTCTCAATAGTATATGATTTTACTTTTGTATATGTATTCTAAGAGAACAAGTCAAGTTTGAATCTTCTCAGAAGTCACAGGAAAATGATATTTTCAAAACAACCATTGAGAAATATATACCACTGTTTTTCATTTTTGTAATTTTTTTCATTTTTTAAAATCTAATGTCTGCTTAATAGAAGACAGTTGGAGTCTCATTGCCTGCTTCTTAGATTACTATGTTATATATTATATTGTTTAAAGTAAATACAAAAAATCCACTTACACACAGTAATGTAACTTGAGAATATTTTAATAATCTTTTCATGCAAGCAGGCACAGGGGCAGGGGGTCCAATCCCTGAGGCTGCCTTGCCAGTCCCACCCCTGGGGCATACTGAAACAGCAATTGAGACTGGGCATGGTGGCATGTGCCTGTAATCCCAGCTCTTGGGAGGCTGTAAGCAGGCGGATCACTACAAGTTTGATCTAGCAGTGAGACCCTGAACACCCAGAAGACCTTTCCCTAAAATACAAAAAAAAAAATCTTTTCAAATAATTGCAATTATTTTCTTGGATAATATACCAAAACTTGACAAGTTATAGATTCTTAAAGACTATTTGCAATATAGAATTTTAGAAAATATATAAAGGGAGGAGCGGAAGAAGGGGAGGAGGAGGATAAAAAAGAAAATTAAGATGTGTTATATGCATGCACCAACTCCTCTTGAGGAATGTAATCGCTAAAAATAGAGGACATATCACCAAACACCAATATCACCCTAATACACTGTAATCTGTTGTCCATCGTGCACTTTAAATGGATCCTTTTTCTACCTATGCACATTGTTCATGAGCCATTTGGAAAATACTGGCTACTCAGAACTTCCATATGTGAACACATCTCATTATACTATATAAAAATCACAATCACTAACATCACCACTGTGACATCATTAGAAAGTTCAGTAGGTAGCAGGCAGGTGTCAAATCAATAATAGTAGATTCATATTTTCCTACATTCCAGATTTTTTGAAGTTTCAAATCTCAAATTTATCATTAAAAATAATATTGTCATTTTTTTTGCCTCAAAATAACAGGCATGCTCTGCATCTTTTTGAGAACATGTCTGCTAGATATCCAAGTCTGAATAACCAGAGTTTGTCTACTAGTTGGCCTGCCCAGTAACAATATCATGAATAAGTGGACTAGTTCAGCTTGCAACTCATAAAATTGCACATCCACTTTTTCATGAGACAACCATAAAGCTATGGTGGACTTCCTGTTTCATCACAGAAAATAGTAAAAAGATGT